CTCCCGTGGGAAAAAACCGGCTTTAATAGGGGGGTGGAGCGAGGGGATTGTGGGCCCCGCCGATTGGCCAGATATGACACAGGATGTGGTCATATCTACGGCGCGCACCTCCCTTGATTGTCATTGGTTAGTTTAAAATCCCGGGCGTGGCCAGCAGGGGCCTGGGCTTCCGGGAAGAAGGCCACACGTGGCCCCAACATGGAGGATACAGGCAAGATGGAGGGGAAGGCATAGCCCTCGCCCTTTCAGATGGCTCCCTTTGCCAAAACCAACCTGGCAAAACTACAGATCTGTGAGAGAAGCTTGGATTTGAAGCACTAACAAAAGAACCTACAGGGTCCTGCAGGAAGAATGAAACTGAACTCAGGCTGGTGGCTGTCAGAGAGAAGGCAGGCAGTGCCCTGGAGCCTTGACTCTTTGCCCGGAAGCCAGAGCTGAGATGCTCAAGTCCAGATACCCTGCCGGGCGAGGAATTGTTAAAGACAACACAGGCTGCTCATCCATTCTTTCCTCTCCGTTTTCATTACTTCCTCCTCCCCCAAATCCCAGGGATGGTTGATTTCAACCTCAGGATGCGGCTTCCTGCCAGTGTGGCTACTTCCCGGGTGTTTCACGAGGAAATCCTGACTAGAGCATATGCGGGGGTGAGGGAGGGGGGGCAGGGAGAGAGGGGAGGGGAGGTGGAGAGATACCAAATGGCAATCATCAAATCTAGGGCTCATCCCTTCCCCTCTGCAAATTCACCTGCATGCACACAACCTCACCCACTAAAGGAAAGGAAATATAGTTGACAACATACACCACCTGAAACAGAATCGTCAGAATATGGTCCTTCTTTTGATCCCCCCACCCCCGACCCCAGCCATGTAAGAATGCAAATACCATTCTTAGTTTATAAGCTGTGCAAAACCAGGCAGCAGAGAGACTTGGCTGACAGGCCGCAGTTGGCCAATTCCTGGATGAGACTATATTGTCTAACATTTGGTGGCTGTCTGAGGAGGGGAATGTGTTTGCTGATGCTCACTTTCTTTTGAATAGGAAATGCAAGCATGGGGCTAAAAATTACACATCGAGGAACCTTCCTCTCATGCATCTGTGCCCACCCCATTCCCATGCTTGCCCTGCTTTCTCTCGTAGGCAGCCATTCTAATGAACTTGTGTGTCTTTTAAGGTTTATGGCAATAGCAACAAATACGTGTTCACACTTCCACGCTTTCCTACATAAATGCAGCACCCCGGCCCCCACCCCCACTGCCCTTCACCCTGTTCCTTTCCCTGGCTGCCCTCATGGAGATTTCCTATCTGCCTTCCTCCCTAAACAGACACATTCCATTTTTGAGGTTGTCATTGCTTATTTCATTAGTCCGCTCTACACGGATACTTGGGTTATTTCCAATCCAATTCAGAATAATGTGGGAATGAAAAAATTCCCCAGGAATTGCTCTGCATGTGCCTGTGTGCCTTCATAGAGCAAATTTCTAGAAGAGGGGTCGCTGAGCCAAAGGATGAACACATTCATAATGTGGATGGAGACGCCGATTGGCCCTCCGTGGGCATTTTGCCCTCCCACAGCGCCTGTCCCCCCCACTGCCTTGTCGACAGGGCAGGCTGTCAAGCTTTTGGATTTTTATCTATTCTGATACATACAAATGATATTTCAGTGGAGTTTTAATGTGCATTTCTCTTATTATGGGTGCCCGTGGACGGGAGCAGGGCTCCCGCCAGCAAAGGAAGCTTCTTTTTGCCGAATTAGAAAAAGGCAGCCCTTCTGGGAGATGAGTGACAGAAGGCACCGCCTCTGGGTCACACCTGGGTTAAAGCCCACCTCCCACCCGCGCCCCAAGCAGGGACCCACGCCCAGCCGCCCTGATGGTGATTGTTCAAGTAGCAGGCCCAGGTGCGACTATCCCAGCGGAACCTGGGTGACAGGAGGGCAAGTAGCAACCAGCAGTCATTTATGGGTCTCAGTGCAGAACATAAAGTGGGGCCCTAGGTCAGTGATGGCAAACCTATGACAGGCGTGTCAGAGGGGACACGCAAACTCATTTTTTGGGTTGATTTTTCTTTGTTAAATGGCATTTAAATATCCTATCTAATAAAAGAGAAACATGGTAATTAGCGTACCACCGCTACCCTTCCCATTGGCTAATCAGGGCGATATGCAAGTTAACACTTGGAGTGCGGGTGAATTTCCCGCCAAAATATAAGATGGCTCTGTCTTTTGGTTTTGTTCCATCCACCAAAAGGGTGGATTACAAACAAATATTTGGTAATACGCAGTTACAATCGGCCCGAGTTTACACGTTTCCCGCACTCCACCGCAAATCTATATGAACCGAGTTTTAAGACGGCTCCCGTGGAGTACGCGCAATTCACACGAGCCGACTTAACTCGTTTCCCGCACTCCAAGTGTTAACTGCCATCCAAGATGGCGGCCGGCAGCCAGGCAGCTTAAAGCGAACATGAGGCTTGCTTGCTTCAGTGACAGAGAACTCCAACGTTCCCCGCCTGCCTTGCCGGCCTCTGAGCTTGCAGTTTGAAACACTGTAACAAATATAGAAGCTAAACAAAACCCCAGAAACCCGCTTTCAGCCAGCCGGGATCTCAGAGCTGGAGTTGGTACAGTGTATCGATTATAGAAACCAAACAAACCAGATACCTGCTTTTAGCAGCAGAAGCCTCAGAGCTGGAGCCAGAGCTAAAGCTGGCCCAGAATAAAAAAGTAAAAGAAAAAAAGGAGCAGTTGGGAGCTTCAGTCACCCACCAGCCTGAAAACAGCCCTCAGCCCCTCACCCAGACTGGCCAGGCACCCCAGTAGGGACCCCCACCCTGAAGGGTATATGACCAGCTGCAAACAGCCATCATCCCCTCATCCAGGCTGGCCAGGCACCCCAGTGGGGACCTCCACCCTGATCCAGGACACCCTTCAGGGCAAACCAGCCGGCCCCCACCTGTGCACCAGGCCTCTAACCTATATAGTAAAAGGGTAATATGCCTCCCGGCACCGGGATCAGCGTGACAGCGGGG